GTCACTGCTAGGCAATGGGAGAAGAGCAAATTGAGATACCCGGGGATTGTCAGCCTTTGGAGACAAGGTATAAAAGAATTAACTTGTGTTTTGGTGCTCCAGCTGCCTCTCTGCCCGCTGCTCATTCAGCTGCTGTGGGCAAGGAAGCCCTTCTGCCCTGACTCACCTTCCTGCCGGGCAGCTGCTCCGCCATGCGAGGGAGCGGTCGGGGCCATGGCACGCACGGACTGCGCTGGTGCGTGTGATTGGCACTGGCCAGCTGTAGCTGTGGTTAATAATTGCCGTTTTCAAAAAATTTCTTCTAGTTCTGGGAGGTGATCAGTGATGAGCATGGCATCGACCCCACGGGCAGCTACCACGGGGACAGCGACCTGCAGCTGGAGAGGATCAACGTCTACTACAATGAAGCTGCTGGTAAGTGTCTGCTTCCTCAGATGCCCTTAAGTAAATGGGGCAGACATGCTAGCTCACTGAGGCTGGAAAAATCCTTGAACAAGAGCTGTCATCTGTCAGCGACTCCTCTAAGAGAGCTTTGTTCTGAGAATGGCTCTGATAACACAGTAGTCTTGAACGAGGCAGTGAGTCTCTCCAGTGAAATGCGGGGAGGCGGAAGGGAGCACATCAGGGCTTCCATGACGCTGGCTGCCGACTGCAGGGCTGTAATGCTGGTGCTGGTTCTTCCCACAGGTAACAAGTATGTCCCCCGTGCCATCCTGGTGGACCTGGAGCCCGGCACGATGGACTCCGTGCGCTCCGGCCCCTTTGGACAGATCTTCCGGCCTGACAATTTTGTCTTTGGTGAGTGAGCGTGGGATGGAGGAGTCCCAAAGTGGGAGCTCTGTGCATGGAGGAGACTCGGAGCGAGCGTGCGAGTGGCCCTGGGGGGGGACCTGAATCCCAGTAGCACAGTGGGGTAGAAGTGGGGAGCGAAGCCCACGGGGCGGGAGAAGCGGCATCATCTCTGTGGCTGCCTGGGGCACTAATGGGGCGCCTTGCTTCTGGTCTGCCCTCTAGGCCAGAGCGGGGCTGGCAACAACTGGGCCAAGGGGCATTATACGGAAGGCGCTGAGCTGGTGGACTCCGTGCTGGATGTGGTGAGGAAGGAGTCGGAGAGCTGCGACTGCCTCCAGGGCTTCCAGTTGACCCACTCGCTGGGCGGCGGCACGGGCTCTGGGATGGGCACCCTCCTCATCAGCAAGATCCGGGAGGAGTACCCCGACCGCATCATGAACACCTTCAG